ATTATTAGGGCTATTTAGTAAAATTAAAAGGTTTATGATAAATATATATATATAATACTAATTTCGGTAATAATAATTTATTATATAGTTAATTACTATCGAACTATTTAATAATTTGAATTCTCTAATCGTCCCTTTATACTTCTCGTCCTATTATAGGATATATATCTTTAGCCGTCTACATAATTGTAAATTCCGTAATTTACGTAATATTTACTCTAATATTATAACTTACTATAAGCCTTAGCTTACCTATAAATACTAATTTACTATAAGTATTAACTTACTAGTGAGCCACCCGCATTAGTGAACTACCTACTACGCCCTTCCGGGCCTTTCCCTCTCTTACGGTTATACTAGCTATTTATAGGCGGGGCTGTTGCGTCCCGAGGGTCTGGGTGGCCCTAGTATCGCTTAAGTTCGTAATAATTTCATAATAAATAGGAGTAATACGTATTATTATTTTACTTCGAACGAAGCTAGGAAATAGGCGAAAGAGATTAAAATAGGCGTAATAATAGCGTATATACTACCCCTATAATTAATGGAGCAATTTATAAAAATAGAGGAGGAAGAAATTAATAATAGTAGTAATATTATTATAAGTAAAGGTTAGGGTAAGGGTAAAGGGAAGGCGCCCGTATATATTAATATTATTTAAAGTAATATTACGCCTAATAATTTATTTAATATCCTTACCTAAATAATAGCGGTTAGGGAGAGAGATTTAAGGGAGGGCGCGCCTTATTACTAATACCCTTCCTATTTACTATATCCGAATTAACTCCCCCCCCCCCCTCCCTCCTCTTATACAATAACTATTAATTCCTTATTAGCTCCGTCTTTATACTTTAATTATATATTTTATAATTATCTCTAAGTTGCTAGTACTAGGAGCGCTCTCCCCTTAATATTATTACTAATAATAGTACTATTTATTATACTATTATTACCGCCGCCTATAGCCCTACCCAGCTTAAGTAATAGCGAGCTTATCAATTAGTAGATAGCTGTTTTTTATACGTAGTACTATATTAGTCGGACTAGTAAAATAAAAATTATAAAGTGTATATAAGGTAACTTTCGATTAGTATTTATTATTAACCCTAAGCCTAGGGTGCTATATTCCCTCTACGAATTAAAAAACGCTAATACTAAATTCTTTATATAAATAGGCTACTCTTCTACCCTCTACTAGACTATCTACTAATTAATAAAATAATTCCTTATTACGTACAATAACTTTACTAATAAAGTAGTAGAAATATTATTATCGCCCCTAGGTCTAAATAAATAACACTATTTTAATTTATATTACTAGTATCCTAATACTAATAACTACTTAAAATATAGTAGCCGACAATATAGTTACTACCGAGGCGCTAGTAATACTCTTATAATAATAACATAAATAATGTAATATACCCTATTTGATCGAATGTAAAGAATGTAATATTTATTATAATAGTAATTAAATATATATTAAAATACGAGGGAATATATAAAAAATAGGTTTTATACGCTCCCCGGGGGTTTCGCTATATTATTTGGCTATAATAATATATCCTAGCATCCGTTCGCTTCGTAATATTCTACCCAGCCGCTAAATTGCTTATATTTAATAAATAAAATATTTATACTTTATATATACTATACGCGATATTATACTATTCGTCTCTATTATAATAAATTAATTATTTATTTATTTACCTATAATATAATAATATAATTATATTATAAAATTACCCCTCGGTTTTTAATCTATTTCGCTTTTCCTGTATAAATTTAATATATAATTAAAGCTTTTACCCGCTCCCTTCCTCTCCCTCTTCTTCTTCTTTTATTTATTCTACCTAATCCTCCCTATCCCCTTCCCGTTTTTTATCTGTACTTCGTCCTTCAGTTTTATATTAGCTATCTTTTAATTACCCGCCTATTAAATATTACTTAAATTAATTTTAATTCGTAATACCTCTTAAACTAATTAATCCGTCCGTATTAGGCTTAACCTATAGTAAGGGTAAGGGCACCCCGTCCGCCTCGGGTTTAATTTATAGTAAGGGCGGATAAATTATATATAAATATAATATAAAAGAGAAGGCTAAAGAGGAAAAGAAGAAAAGTAAGAAAGAGAAGAACGTTTAAAAAACCTCGTATTTCATTATTGTAAATAAAGATAAATAGTACGTTAAATATATTAAACTACTATATAAAAAGACACTAAGTATTACTATTGTAACCTTTACTAAATTTTATAAGGGTTATAACGAAGCCTACTACTTTTAGGAGCCTAGTATATAACCGTTCACCCCCCGTATTTATTCTAATTTTAATATTTATATAATTAAAGCTTAAAGTACTTATTATTACTACTAGTTAAACTATACTAACGAATAGTACCCTTATAGCAATTTAATCATTATTATTTATAAATTTATAATAGCCGTTATTCGCCTCCGTAATATTATTACCTCCGATATAAAGGCGTTCAATATTTTTTATATAAAAATAAATAAAATTACTATTAATTAGGATTCGGCAATTACTAACCCTATTACTCCCTTTAACTTCGGTTCTTTGCATCCTACTAATACCTCGTTCGGCAATCATACATTCTCCCCCTCGAAAAAGCGTAGAATTTTAAAGCCCTTCGGTACTACTATTACAATCGCTATTAGCGAATTAACTATTGTTCGTTAGAACGTCTCTATACTATATACCATCTCTATTATAATTAAATAAACCTTCTAAATCTATTTTAATTTATTAGAAAAGTTTAATAATACTATTAAAAATATTTTATACGCTTCTACTAATAATTATAATATCCTAACGGTTAAAATTTCGGATATTAAGGAACTACTAAATAATATCTAATTTATAATATACAATTATTCTAACCTCCAATCGCTTCCCATTCTAACCTAATTACTTATAAGTTAATAATATTCGTAATATCCTTTATTTTTATATTAGCAGAAAAACCCTTACTACCTCCTATAATATTTCTAATAATAATATTAATTACCCTAGCTCCTAATCGGCCTCCCTCCCCTACCCGGATAAGGAGGAGGGTAATACTAAAAGCGATAATAATAATAAAGATTATAAATAGCCTAACGAATAAATATTCGAAAATAAGGAAGAGGACAGGTAAAAAATTTATTAAATATGAAACTAATTATTATACTACCTAGTCGGCCTCCGCCCCCCCTCCTAGATTATTCGAATTTTAATTTATATATCGGTTTATAGGTTTCTTAATTGTAAATCAATTACTACTTATTTACTATTATTTCTTTTCTTTACCCGAGTAAAATTATTTTAGGGTAGGATTAACTATTATATAACCCGGTCGGCCTCCGCCCTATCCCTAATAACTACTTTTTTTATATTTTTTTATAAATTTTTTTTTTAGTAGGTAAGTAATATTATTAAATATTAGATAGTTATAGAATTTAATTTTCAAAATTTCTTTGGGTACAAATAGGGTATATTATAGATTCTAAGGTAAAATATAGATAATATATATACTCAAATAATTGTACTATAATAATAAAAATTCTTATTCCTATTCCCTACTCTATATTTATAAATACAACTAAACTACGCCTAGTAATATACCCGCTAGTAATATACTCCGCTACCTTATCTAAATAAAGGGTATAATAATCCTTCTTATTATTAATACCCTCTATATCTAATTATACGTACTTAAAATACCCCTATATTTATTCTACCCTTATACTGACTTCCTATACGGCCTTATATAGAAATTTAAGGAAATTTTTATTTAAAACATTATTAATACTATAAATTTAATAAATATCTTTAAAATACTGTTTAAAATTACTAAAATATACCTCGATCGGATTATATTCAGGTAAGTACAATAATAAATACTAAAGGAGAATACCCGCGTTATAGTATATCATCAGAATATCAGTATTATAATATTACCTAGTATTATCTATTATTAATATACTATTATAATTAGGGAATAGGTTTATTTTAGGTAGTATATAGTTCCCTAACTATATAATAAAACCGTTTTTATTTATTTATCCCTTTAAAATAAGTAATTCTAAGAGGCTATTTACTGTAATAGTAGGTAAGAGATAATACTAGTAGCTGTAAATAAAATAATTAATAATTATAAGAATAGCTCTTCTCGGGGCCTAACTAGTATAATAAATACTATTCCTATAGTCTATACTAAATTTATTATAAAATATAAATATTTTTACTATAAAAAGCGAACTCCGGTATAACTATTCTACTACTAATTCGGGTATTTATTAAACTACCTTCATTCTTAACTTCTTTTTATTCTAGCGCTCTTTCTTTAAATATTTTAATATAATTTATTTAAATATATACATATTATATTCAATTGCGAAGAATCCCCGAATCTCATCGAAGTACAAATCCAACTTCAATATTAATAATTCAAATACTTCCTTTATAATAATCAATAACGTTATTTCAAGTAGGTAATACTAATATATATATTTATAGCCTACTCTAGGAACTTCCTAGCGTTCTAACTACTATAGTTTTGAGTAAATAACTCACTCGTAAGTTTAATTATATTCCGAAGTATACGAATATACCGAGGGGCAATCCTCACAGCAGCCGTAATACTAGCAATAGGCTTATTATTCGTGATTATTATACAAATAATATCCTTTTAGGTATAATTCGTATATTATATTATAGCGCCGTCCAAGAGCTTCAATTCGGTAGCACTTCGGGTCCGGCGCGGGTCGATTTACAATGGGAAATAGCCAATAAAAGTCGAAAATATCGCGTTTTCACAACATCTGAACCAGCACGTTTACCCAAATGATAGGGGTCTGAAACGCCCCATGCCAAGAAATACCAAGATAGGATCAGGCGTTTGGCGGTGGGAAAGGTGTTTGAGTGTGGGAACGTCTGGGGCCCTTCTAAGCGCATCTTGTGCCGGGGAGGGGGGGTTGAGGCGTCAGCACTTCCCAAAAATGGGCCCATGGCCCAAACCGCCCAGTTCAAAATGGAAGACTCCGTCCGTTCCTCGTCTCTGGCTTTTCGGTCGTCGCGATAGAAACCGAAGGGTCAGGTGTGATGTTGGACTTCGCGCCTTTCCCCCTCATTGGGATATTGGGGCTGGCTGGAAGGCTAGTCAGAGTCTCCTTCTTTAACGTTGCTCTTTCTCTACTTCTGATCATTTCGGCTGACTGACCTTTGTTTTTTCCTCTTTCCTCTTACCCTAACCGTTCACGATACTTTTTCAAACTTCGAGCCAGGACAGAAGTTCGGGAGCCCAGAGAAGGAGTTGATGGTTTCTCTCGACCAATTACACCAAGGGCAAGCTCAGTTGTTGTTTGGCTACGGAGATACGACAGCCCATCGACAATCTTCAGCTGCCGCCCGGGATATGATCAACTGCAGCCACTTCTCAGCTCGTTGGCTTGGGTCTCATCCATTTATTTGTGTAGGTAGTCAGGGGATCTCAAAGTCAATAACCACTCATTTCTTTTCCTAATCCTCCCTTCGTTCATCTCCTCAATTTTTCCGAGACCTCTCGGGATCTTTGCCCTTGACGTCGCGATCTATAGCACACTGAACATTAGAATTAGCCGCCGATGGATTACCTCTACGCGCCGCATCCACAGGCGCGGCCGCCGCTGCACTCTGCGCATTCGACAGGCTCCTTCAGCCGAATATCGACTGTCTCGGACCTCACAGAGTTCGACAACGTACAACCACGTCCGTCGCTGGTCTCCCTTCAGTCGGATTACGACAATGGTGGATCTAATCATCAAGGTTATGACGCCAAAAGAGAAAGCGGACATGTCTACACGGGAGCCCAGACTGGCTGGTCTGCGCTAGTAAACTTGCCAAGTTTAGGAGGGGGAGGCGCTAGAAATAGCAGCTACGAGCCAGTGCAGGGGCAGTTCTCGGAACACTCATCACTAAACCAACATCAAACTCCACCATTCGAGCGCAACAGACATGGCCAGGGCCGCTCCTTTGCCGCCCGCGCTGCTCATCTGAACCGACGACCTGATGCGATTCCGGAAGAGGATGGCATCGATCTCGGCCTCATCCAGTCCGCCGCGCCCCTAGGCGGCAGCCCGGCTCCAGCTCCAGTCCCCTACCTACGCGTGGAGCCTGTCTTCGATGTCAGTGCAGCCTTGGGTCCGTCCACTGATGCGGACGACAAGTTCATCAGGTCACTACAAGAACAGGAAGCCCAGGGCAAACTCACTGGTGGCTTGGGTGCTGGAATTCGCACAGATGCCGTCGTGACCGAATCGGCTCTGCTGGCTACAAGTCCCATCTCTGACCGAGGCTCCTCTATGCGGCGCTCGTTCACGCGAGCTGCTGCACGTCTAAGCCGGCATGACACCGTCAAGCAGTTGGCGCAGCAGGAGGCGAACAAAAGAGGGAAAGTGATCGAGGTGGTGATGGACGACGATGTTGTTAGCAATTTGGGAAAGTTTGACTTGAGCGTCATGGCTGGACCAGACGGAGAATCAAAGAGTCCGTATGGGCAAATGCGGCAGACGACATTTCCTTCAATGAAGAGGACGGAAAAGCATGTGTTCTACCCAACGCCTGACTGGAAGCCCTTCTCCATGAGATGGCCATATCTGGTGTCCCTTATTATTGTTTCCATTGTGGCGGCCGGCGGCGTGGAAGTCCTTTACCAAAGATCAGCCAAGCAGCCATTGGTGGTCTTCAAGTCACCCACCGATATAACACCCACGGCGTATTTCTGCGTAAAATTCCTGCCGACGCTCATCGCCGTCACGTATGGTGTGCTCTGGCAGATCACCAACTTCCAAGTGATGCGCCTAGAGGCTTTCTACCAGCTCTCGAAGGAGGACGGTTCCCTCGCAGCAGAGTCCATCAACGTGGACTACTTCAGCTTCTTCAACCTCTTCCGACCTATTCGTGCCCTTCATTACAAACACTATGCGGTAGCGGTTTCTACCATAGCAAGTCTTCTCGCCAATGCGCTGGTTCCGACTCTCTGCTCCGCCTGCATCGTCCTCTCACCCGACCGCGACACGCGCCTCCGGAACCCAAACGACGAGAAGCGCATTTCCATCCACGCCGTCTGGCCACGTATCCTCACCCTCACACTCGTCACAATTGCCGTATTTGGCTGCGTTCTCTTCTACCAACTCCAAAGCCGTCGCTCCGGCCTCCTCGCCGACGTCAAGGGCATCGCCGGTCTCGCTTCCATGGCCACCGTCAGTCACATCCTCATGGACTTCAAAGACATGGACGTGGCCACGCACAAGGACATCCACAACAAGCTCAAGAACCACCGCTACGTTCTGCGCAACTCAGCCCTTGCGCCCGCCGACGAAGTCTACAACAAACCGCTGTCTAAAAAGGAACAAGACCGCGAGCGCTACACAGGCAGCCACCTCGACGAGAACCCGCACCCGCTCTCCCTGCGTGCTGCGGGCGCCATCCCTTTTATCACCTTCATCACCCTCTTCTCCGTCCTGATCCCCTGCGTTCTCTTCACGCCCGCCAATGTCCTGGCCGACCGCGCGCCCTGGGTGATCACCGCCCTAGCCGTCTGCCTCAAGCTCAGCTGGGGCGCCATGGAAACGGACGTGCGCATGATGGAGCCGTACTACATCCTCTCTACAAAGCGGCACGCGCCTCCCAAGACACTGACGCTCGACTACAGGTCCATGCCCTTCGGCGGGTGGGTCGCGCTTAAGGGCGCCATGAACGGACACTGGCTAGTGAGCTTCGTCGGGTTTGGTAGCGTCATGGCGGAGTTTTTGACGGTGTTGGCTACGAGCTTGGCAAGCGTCGAGGGGAGGGTGTTTGTAAAGGCCACGAAGGAAGCGTTGTTGCTTAATGGGAGATCTGAGTTCATCGAGGCTGGGGACGACAAGAATGATACAAACTCAATCAACGCGTGGCAGGAAACGCCGCTTTCCTTTTGGATCTCACTGTGTTTGGCGGACTTTGTTCTGCTTTACATGGGAGTGATGGCAACTATCGTGTTCGTTCGGCGGCGCCGTGTGTTCTTGCCGCGGCAGCCCAATACCATTGCGAGTGTGTTGGCGTATATCCACCAAAGCAAGATGTTGTACGATTTTGTGGGGACAAATAAGCTGAGTGATGCCGAGATGGTCAAGAAGTTGGAGGACCAGGTGGGCAAGACTTATGGGTTGGGATGGTTCCAGGGACGAGATGGGCAGATTCATTGTGGTGTGGATGAAGAGGAGTTGTTGACGGGGTATAGGAGGGGGATGGATTATTCGAAGGCCACAAAGCCGTGGGCGGAGGGGGTGGAGTGGTTGTAATTCATTTTGGTGTTTGGGCTTTGGCCTTTCAGGGGCAAATGGGTAGTGAGACTGTTATGATGATGACGGCGATGATGCATCTTGGGTTGGCTGGATTTCATAAGGGACTTTTTGGACATACATTCCTGATATAATAACATTGGGTATACTGACTTTCCGTCCTACCCTCTATGAATCCCATCACGAGGCCGAAGTACCTCGTACCTCCCGCTCACGTCAAGACCCCTTGATCGAGGAGAGCTGATCCTTCTCATACCAAGTTGGTGGAGAATCTCTACATGTCATCTGTTTTTCGACCTTTTGATTTTTTGACCCATTGAGTTGAGGCATAGGTTCTCATGAGCCTTGA